ACCAATTGCACAGTTGCAATCCATGTTAGAATATCATCATCATCATCTCGCCATAGCCCAAATGCCCAATCAAGGGAAGTGAACCCCCTCTGATTGAATAACCAATAAAGTAAAGCACAATATCAAAACAGTTCAGACACAGACATGAAATCGAGGAGTTTTGATGATCACGTGCGCATCAAGGAAGGAAAAGATGACACACTCAATTTGTTTTTCATCTTGAATTGAATTGCAATTTCAGAAAAATCATGTGGTAGAAAATTATGTGGTATATATAGGTGCAATTCAGTAATAGTTTGAAGAAGATTTCCAGTTGGTTTACTGAATCAGCCGTGCAGTACGTCAGCACGTCATCTAATATAATGGTAAACAACCCTCCTACGTGTTCAAGAAAAAACATTAAATTTTTAAAACTAATACCTTGATGCAGGCTTACATAAGTGAACATGGTTACCTCAGATGGCCAAATAGTACACATTGTGCATTGGCCAAAATTTTAGGCCATAATTTAGTAGCAATAAGCACCTAACAAAGATGTAGCAGAAAAAGGAAGTTTAGATGATAAATCATAAGCTACAATCTGTCGCAGGACATGCTGCAAATAAATTTTATAGTGTGGATTGCAAATAATAATATAAACCATTCATATTGGAATAAGGAAATCAGCTTTTAAGGTTCCTTAAGCAAAATTATTAGTGAATGGCAATACAAACACCGATTGTTTGATTTGTAAAAACGCCAGATTCAAATAGTACAATTAACAAAAAGCAAAAGGAAAGGGGAAGTTCAATTGAGTGAATAACAGAGCATCCATGGACTTGAACTAGCAAGAATGAAGATGACCTTCGAGAGATCAGTTGATTTACATGCATATATGCATGTGCTAGTCAAGTTAAGAGCAAGCATCCATGGGCTAAATCAAATGCTTGTTAAGTATATATCGATCTGCAGGTTTCTAAAAGCATGAGGCACAGGGAAACCGATCGGTCACTAACCTGGAAGACCAAGGCCTGCACGCAGCCTAGCTGCTGCAGCGTGCACCTTCATCACAAAATTAAAGATACAAGGAGACAACGTCGTTGAACTTGAAGCTAGCTCCCCTGTAGATAAATAGCCGCCGGCCAGTATCACATATCAGTATCATGTATTACTAGCAGTGTAAATGAATGCAAAATCTGATGTATGAGGCTGAACGAGGATGGGCAGGGCTTTCCCGTCAGTTGTGGCCGGAGGCAGAGCGACACCGGAGCGAGAGCCGGGGTTAGGGCTGGGGCGGTGAACCGGCGGCGGTCGCGCAGGGCAGGGGAGGAAGCTAGAACGAGAGTAGGAGCGGGGAGAGGAGGGCGCGCGGTGGCGGTCAACAGGGCTAGGACGACGCGCAGCGCCGACGCAGGAGCCGGGGTCGGGGCCGGGGGCGGTGAACCGGCGGCGGCCGCGCAGGGCAGGGGACGAAGCTGGGACGAGAGGAGGAGCGGAAAAAGGAGGACGGTGGCGGTCAGCAGGGCCGGACGATGCGCGGTGCCATGGGGGTTCCTCGAATACCTAGAACACCTCGAATCGAATCCCCCAATAATGCAAATCACGGCGAAACGAGAGAGAAGAGATCTCAGCAATACCTCGCGACGAATCCTGGAGAACACCCACCGGCAGGGATCACTCGAATCCGATCCGGACGAGGTCGCCGCGAATAGGAGAGAGGTGGCACTGTTCAAAATCGCCCGCTTCGCTTCCCCGTTGGGTCGTCGCGTCGAGAACCATCGGGCGTCGGTCTGTGTAACTAGCGAGACGGAAAAGGAAAGGACAACGTGACAGAAGAGGAAAGAGAACAGTCGTGTCATACGCGGTCGGATTGTTCGCTGGAGTCCAAACGGGTGAACACTCGTCAAAATGGAATTGGGCACGAGAAGGAAAGAAAGGCAGCTGCAAACGAAAACAGACAAACAGTATTCTTAACCATGACCAATGTCCCCCTGGGAACTAAGATTTTAGCATCCGACACGCCGACCACTCGCCAGCCGATGCTGCACGACCGGTTCGGCAAGCTACCTCGCCATCTTAATACTCCTATCTGCGTAATGTTAATTTTTTATAAGTACACAAGTAGATATTTACTCTATAGTGTTCTGATATATTTATGCCTTGCTACTTATTTATGACGACCAGTGCTTGAATTGCAATTTTGATTTAGTGTAGATTTGTTTTTGGGCAGGAAAATAGATTCTCGCCCTCCTTGTGATTTCTTGAATAGTTTGAAAAGCACACCACAAGATGCGAGCAATGCTACTATGCTTTGGTATTACTCCTATATTGTTTGTGTTGTCAATTGTCATATGTGATGATGGTCGGGATGAGCATGTGTGTATGTGGTTTGTGCGGACGGCCATAAAAGATATAGCATACAAAATATTATAGGAGCTGATGTGCACATCCAAAAATTTAATATTTAAATGTTCTCTATAGCCAACCCTACCAGCCTGTATACAAGTCTTTGTGGATGAAGGTTTAAGTGACACGGTATTGTCATGCGACCTGCTACTGCTACTGGTGTTCTTAATTATTATCCATTCTAATCCTGGAGGACCTCGATGCTCCCACCACCATCCCCACCTCCTCGGCGGGTGGCACTCTCACTATACCGTCTTTTTTTTAATTCCTCACTGTACCGTCTTCAACGCTGGTTCGACGAGTTCTCCAGGCACCTTCTTTTGAGGCAGACGTCCATGTAAGTCAACCCCAACTTGAAATTGAACCCAAACTCCTGCCATCCTATTGACGTCAGAAGCCAACACGCCCTAATCCCGATTGCTAAGACGAAGAGGATAGTAGAATGAAAGGAGAGGACATCGGACCTAGTAAAGGCCGTAAGCTAGGACATTGAATAATCATTTTCTCTAGTTCTCAACTTGGTAATTTACTAGCACTCATTTTTATTATAATGTTAAATCGAATCTAGTATGACATATTTCCGTAAATTACTTACTAATTTTATAAATTTACACTAAACTCGATCATGTTGCCCAAAAAACACGCATCTGAAAGTGAAAATAAAAAAGAAGAGACGGATAGAGCTATTGATAATTTTTTTAAGAGTAATACAAGCATCCAGACGAGTGGCCAATAGTTGCTATGGAGGAACAAACTATGCATCTAGAAGATCAAGACCCTATAGAAGATAGTGTTGGCATCAACATGGATGATGATAATGTGAGTGACCATGAGCCCATATTTAGACGAGTGGCCAATAGTTGCTATGGAGGAACAAACTATGCATCTAGAAGATCAAGACCCTATAGAAGATAATGTTGGCATCAACATGGATGATGATAATGTGAGTGACCATGAGCCCATATTTAATTCTCCTACGATGGAGTCTACTCATGTTGATGAAGAACCAGTGATTTGTGACTGTGGCCTCAGCTGAAAGAACCTTTTCAAAGCTAAAATTACTGAAGAATTATTTGAGGTCCATAATGTCCCAAGAAAGATTAAATGGTTTGGCAACTTTATACATCGAGAAGAAATTATAAGATGAAATTGATATTGATGCCACCATCAATGACTTCGCATCAGTAAATCTCAGAAGAAATTTTTAAGGTAAGATAAGATGTATAACTTGTTTGATAACCATGTTTCTTTGGCACGCATTACACTTATTAGAAACATCATTATATTATTAAAGTTGTATTAAAGAGCCTATTTGTGTTGCTTCGCTCCAGGCCTATAAATTGACGGGACCGGGCCTGACCCAAAGTCCTGCCACCCAATTGACGTCAAAAGCCAACACACCCTAATCCCGATTGCTAAGACGAAGACAATAGTAGAATGGAAGGAAAAGAAAGTAGAGGACATCGGACCCAATAAGGCCGTAAGGGAGGGAGTTCAAACAACAACTTTGGTCTAGTATATATCTATATTTGTATCCGTATCTGTATTTATATCTGTATTTGTATCTATCTATATCTATATCTATATTTATACTAATAATATTAAAATATGTAGATTTCTTTTGTTTTGTCTCTTTCTAACTCTCTCATCTATATCTATAGTAATATTAAAATGTGCAAAAAAATCCATCCCCTCTCAAACTATCTCCCTATTCGCTCATCTCACAATCCTACCTCTCTCCCAATAATCTTCTTTGTCCTTCTCACTCATAGGTCTCTCCCCTATCCGCTTGCTCGTCTCGTAGTCCCACCTCTCCTAATAATTGCCCCCTCTCGCTCATACACACACATTTTCTTCGTCCTTCATTTGTCATCCCTTATTCCTCTGTCCGCTCATTTCATGATCCTTAGTCTCACCTCTATCCAAATAATTGCCCCTCTCACTCATGCACACACCTCTTCTTTGCCCCTTGATTTTTTGTCATCCCTTATTTTCACCCTTCTCAATTTCACATATGGCAAACATAGACACATGGTAGGACTTAAGTCCCAAAAAAATCCTACATCGTTCGCCTGCTATTATTTAGAGCTACAAAACCTTCAATAATGATGCACCACTCGTGTTGTAACCTGGCTGTCCAAGACCGAGTCCATACACACTGCGACTCAGCGTGCACGAGCGTGCAGCTCACGTTTCACCTTTCTTAACCTCAGCACAAGTACACACAATAGCCTAAGCTAAGTCAATATGTGGGTCAATTTATCATAGATGATTAATCTATTATTGCACCTAACTCATATCATTGACACGGACGGACCAAATGACCGTGTAGCAAGCTACACTTCCCATTGAAGCGCACATACATTTTTGTTTGTTTAGATGTAGAATTTATTTATGATTTAAGCAGGACAATTTTTTTTTTGAAATGTTATAAAGCGGATCAAATTTCCCAGGCTAGAAAACAGTGGGGCGACAAAAACTAACCGACTCGTACAAATGTATGAATCAGCATGCCTGGACACACAAATCTGCTTTTCCCCATTCCTTATTATCCACAAGAACTCTGAATATTTGATCATCTGAGCGCGCATGCATTGCGCCGATCAAGGATCAACTCAAGCGTCGACGGAGCACTTGGGGTACTCGAGAAGTGGCACGTCCCCGGCTTCGTCCCCGCCCACGGTGGCGTCCACCCCGAGGCCGACGGTCGCATCACAGCGCAGGTACAGCCCGCGCCACCCGGTCATCAATGGCCCGCTCCTGTACTTGACCCGGCCCATGACGACGAGGCGGAGCTCGACGCGGTGTGCCGCACAGTCGCCCTCCAGCGCCTGCGCCGTGTCTGCCGAAACCGGCACGGGCACCGCGCCGCCAAGACCGAAACGCGGCGACAGCGCCACGTCGGCACCGCGCTCCTGGACCGTCCCGGGCAGCGGCACGGGGGGCGCCACCATCTCCCCGCGATACGTCACGTAGGCAAAGAGGCTGTCGTAGAATACCGTGGCGCGGTCGCTCGGGTTGTGCAGCAGCGTCGTGAATCGCACGCTCGCCGCGAGCGTGTATGGCGGACCCCTCCCTTCCGAGGAGTTTCCGGCGGTCGCGGCCATGCGGTACACGGCGGCGCGCACCACGGAGGCCTGCGGCTTCAGCGGACGGAAGACGAGGTACACCACGAGCACGGTGGCGGTAGCGACGGAGGCGACGAGGAGGGCGGTAGCGATGATGCGGGCGCGGCGGCGCGTGCGGTGCATCTCGCAGAGCTGCTGCCCCATGGCTATGTCACGGTTTGGTTTCTTGTGCGGAGAAAGCTTCCTTTATGGCGTCTGGGTCGGCAACGGCGTCGTTCTCTTTTTCTTTTGCTTCGGTGTTTCGTGCACAACATCGCCGCGGACATAACTGACGAACATCTGTTGTAGCTCTGGACACTGGAGAGGGTCACGGGGTAGACGTGCAGAGCGTGTTGTTGCTTGCAGATAGAGGGCCTGTTTGGATGCTGCCTCCCATGCGTTTGATTTCAATCGCCTGGGGCTGGGGTCGCTTGTCTGGCAGGCACGTCCAGGCAAGGGCGGATCCAAATGTGCCCATAGTGCGAGGGAGCAGTGGGCTGTCAAGGAGGTCCTAGCGGCCAAGGTCCTTCTCTGTTGAAGAAGACAGAAATCTAGATGTGCATGCGCTCTGGTTTTTGCTTTCGGCGGAAAGGTGTGGTTGTCACCCGTGCTTTCCTTTTGTGTGGACATGAGGTGTGAGTGTATCACCTAATTTTGGATATTAGTGCGCTCTCCTCTTACGGCCAAACCTCTGGCGGTGTGTTGGAGAAGAATAAATTCAATCTTTTGTTGTGCCTAACAAAAATATATACCATCTATCATAAAGAAATCTATACTCAAAAAGAAAAAATAGTTTTCACTTCTCCTACCACTTTTTTTACATAGGCCCGAGTGTTCGTCAGCAAAATGGTCTTTATACTCTGTGATTTGCTTAAGGTTAATTTCGCGTACACGATTAAAATGGTCTTTTCGTCCCTACTTAACACCGCTAGACATTGTTCACCTAAACGGCCGTTTAGCCCGTTTACACACCATTTAAACGCTATACGGTGGTACACCGTTTTCGTTTAATCGTTTGTTTTTACTGTTTAAATGGCCATTTTTCCCTTTTAAACACCCGTTTTGCCCGAATAGTGGGCTAAACGGTAAGTGACCGACGGTTTACTGTTTATATAGCGTTTAGGATAACATTGCCGCTAGAGGGGTAAACTGATGGAAATGCCATAAGAGGAATCAAAGATAGATTTAGGATCAAATAGGTAAGTTCAAATTGGCTCAGGCTAAGGAGGGAAGACTTGATTTTAATATGGCCAAATAGGAAATTTTGTCTTCCCTAAAACGACCCCAAATTCATGCACGCTCCAAAAGATAGAAAGTATTCACAAATAAAATGCCACAGCAGATATGCAGGAGAAGAGAGAATTCTGGAACAGAAGAACAGTATGGGAGAGGCCAAGAAGAATAGAATCTCTGGAGAATTTGATTTCAGTTATTAATCGTCTTCTCTCGTTATAGGTGATGCAGCTTATATGCTTTGCCTTTTTTTTAAAAAAAATAGTAAAAATACCCGTGCGTTGCAACGGGAGATAAAACTATCAAACATTCATTGAAAATGATGAATTATCGTAATATCTATTTATGTTTTATTTTTTTATAAAATCTATAGAAATTATGTATACCTAGGTACGTAACATAACCTATGTATTTAAAAAGTGAGAATGATTTACAATTTGAATATGGGAGTATAATTTATTCTATGATGACCATGATGCCCATAATATAAGTTGATGTCGACAACAATAATATGACAATGTCCTCTTAATCTTATATTAAATTAAAATACGACCTTGATAGATTTATTCTCATGTTACAAAACACAAAAATATTTATATTTATATTTATATATATCATAGCTTTAACTTTTATATTATACATGTGTTGCTACAGTTAAATCTCGAGCTCTTTGACTTTTTTTAGATCCATAAAAATATGTGATTCTAATATTTAATTAAAGTCAGCAAGAAATTAGTTGCCGACATATCAAAAATTGGTCTGTCCGCCTGTCGATGATTGTGATAGAAGACATCTTTGAATTTTCACACGTTAGGGATTCCATAGATATATTTATTTAGACTCAATTAGACTACAAACCGTTCAAGATTTCAATCCACGATTTGATTAGTTAAACCATAGGCTTGCATATATATATATATATATATATATATATATATATATATATATATATATATATATATATATATATATATATATATATATATATATATATATAGACTCAATTAGACAACAAACTGTTCCAGATTTTCATTTCACAATTTGATTAGTTATTAGACCATAGGCTTGTAGATATATCTTTATTTAGACCCAATTAGACAATAAGTATACTATTGTTATAATATCTAATAGACATGCATATATCAATTTCCACCGTAAGAAAAAGGCCACACGTTATGATTTCTTTATATGCTTATCCTCTTCCCGTTGCCCCCGAAGTCTTCACCTTCATTCAGTGTCTTCTTTGTTTGGTCAATGCATGGTCGCTCATTCTCTCCCCTCTCCTGCTAGCAACCTCACAAAATAGACATGAGATGTGCCCATGAATAGAGACACCGCAGTTGGATCCGATTTAGAGTGCATACGTCTTGGAGCGTCCCATTGTTGGGCATGAGCTGGTCCATGGCGTTGTGATGAAACATCTCAGCCTAGCTTCATGTCTTCCTCACTCTCTTCACAACACAAGTGTCTTTGCAACTCGCAAGTTGCAACCGTGTGTCTCAGGTGCCTCAAGATGCAACGAAGCTGGGTGGCCGCTCTCGGCGCTCGAGCGGCGGCGGGGCCACACTTCCTCCATGAGAAGCACGCTGGGCTATTTGCTTCTGCTCTCGACGCTCGTGCGGCGCTGCGACCCGCCCCGGCACCCGGTTCCCGCTCAAGAAGCTCGTGTCGACGCCGCATGGCCGGGAGCCCGGGAGGCGGAGAAGCATTGTACGTGACGGAGCTGGAAGGCGCGCCGGAGCGGAGATGAGGTACACCGCGGCGGCATGGACGACGACGAGGATAGCGACGACGTGCACGTCCTTAATGCGCCCTGCCTCTCTCGCAACTCGGCGATATGATACACCCTCCACACGTTTTTTTTTTAAAGTTAAATGCACCGGCAGCCTTTGAACTTGTAAGCATGTGTCATGTAGATCTATGAACTTTGAAAATATATTTATGGGTCCTTAAACTTGTTAAGTGGTGCACCGTAGGCCCATATTAGACATGTAGATATTTTTTCTGATGTGACGTGCCTGTGTGACATATTTTTTATTTAAGCCCTCACGTTTATTTTCCTTCGAAAAAATAGACCCTTACTCCTCTCATTCCCCATGGTAGCGGCATGTGGATGCAGTCCACGTGGAACCCGTCGGGGGCAGCGCAAGAGCCGCTCCATCTGCCGCGCTGGCGCTCTGGCTGCTCCTCCTCTTCCACCTCCTCGGGGACATCGCGGGCATCATGCTCCTGCCGCCGGGAAATAGGGCGCCCGATGTGCTCTCCACGGTTGTGGCCGTGCCAGGTACATGTGTCGCTGGAGCGCGTCGAGGGCGGGCGGGCGAGGCTCCTCTTCCGTGGCAGTATGGTGGCCTCGGCGGTGTGATTTGATGAGATCGAGTACTGGCGGAGGTGCCTCGTCGTCGTTGTGGCCATCGCCTTCGACGAGAGGGGCGGCGAGGTTTGGACCCGCGTCGACGATGCGTGCGTGTGGCTCAGGCGCGCGCTCATGGTGGAGGACGGACGGACGGGCGCCGTACGCACCCGTGCCCATACATATGGCGGCGACTAGATGCATGCTGCCGCCCGGGAGGACATGCCCATGCAGTGTCCTTCTCTGAATGTTCTTGAGCAAATGCGCCCTGAATTACCAACCAAAATTATCTCTACCGTTTTTAGGTACATGCATCTTTCGTTGCGTGGCACAAAGGAATTCAGAACGTATCACCAACAAAATCCAGAGCACATCTTTCGTTGCGCCGTCGTCGTTCTCGACCATGAGCACCCAGCTCTCGCCGCCAAACCTCCCGGCCTCGACGCACCAGAGCAGCACGCCTCTCTTCTTGCTCAGCAGGCCCCGCACCTCCAGCCCCGTGAAGGAGTACAACACGTCGAAGGACCCCATGAAGCCCCTCGCGCCGGCGCCAAATGTCTCCTGTTCTTCCTCCTCGTTGAAGCTCCACGCCGGGTTCAACAGTACCACCGGCTTGGGTTCCAGACTTCCAACGCCTGCTCCACCTGCGCTGGCCCCGTGGCCAGGAACACCGTGGCACCACCAAACCCAGATACGCGTGCGCCGTCGCCGAGTCTCCCTGGTTCTCGAACTCGCTCAGGGCCACGGACACTCGGACAGCGCCTCGGCCGAGGGCCAGACGACCCGGCGACAGGAGCATGACGCCCGCGATGTCCCCGATGAGGTAGAAGAGGAGCAGCCAGAGCGCCAGCGCAGCGGCGTGCGCGGCAGATGGAGCGGCTCCTGCGCTACCCCCCGATGGGTTCCACGGGGAGTGCATCCACATGCCGGCTACCATGGGTGATGATAGGAAGAGGAGTAAGGGTCTATTTTTTAGAGGAAAATAAATGCGAGGGCTTAAATAAAAAATATATGCCACACAAGCACGCCACATTAGAAAAAAAATATCTACATGGCTGGTAAGGGCCTGCGGTGCATCACTTAATAAGTTTAGAGACCTAGAAATATATTTTTAAAGTTTATGGACCAATTTGACACATGCTTATAAGTTCGAGAGCCGCTGATATATTTAACTCTTTTTTTATTTGGTCGATTTGCCTTTCCTCTCTCTCCTGGGACTCGGCAAGTTTCCTTTTTATTCGCTCGATTTGCCCACTTCGAACTCTAACTGGATTTTGTACCGTACATGATTCCTGTTGACGTGCATGTCATGGACTGTGACACCACATGGACATAGAAACGGATCCATGTTGTGCACGTTGCCACGTTATGGACTATGTGCCATCATGCAGACATAGTAACTGGCCGAGAAAAAAATACAAGAGAGGTGGAAGAAAAAATAGGATGAAAGTCTTTTAGAAAGAAATTTTGGATCTTGACCCAATATATATTAGAATCGGACTCATTGGTAGACGCGAGTTGTTCTAACACATGAGCACGGCTTATGAGTCCGGGTCACGTACACGACCCAATACGTTTT